TTTACGAGGCATCCTCGTTATGGGTATGTATAGCATACACCGGACTAGGAACTTACCAGAAGGGCTTGAAACAAGCCCTTTGAAGATGCAAGCGAATCGGCATTGTTTCAGCTCCGATATCAGTATGAACGCGATCGAATATCTGATCCTTTGCACTCAATAAAGGGAGAACCATAGATTTTTAACTCCTTTAATGCCTGCTATTAATCTTATCTGATTATTTTTTTTACTCAGGTTGGCCTTATATTATGAAACGGTGCAAAAACTAAAAAATGATTTCAAAAAAGCTAGAAGAAAAGCTGCTCTCGCCAAAATTGCGTTACAGAGTTATTAGTGGTGAGGAATCATTTGGTGATATTAGAAAAATTCCCAATCGTCTGCTTGATCGGGAAATGCAAAAATTTAGGGTGACCTTGTAATTATGAAACGCACTGTATTTGCATGCGCTCGATTCTTTCCACTGGTGTTTCCTATTTGATAGACACTCTTCTCTTCCTCTTCGTCGTGTTAGTTTGTCCATTTTTTTGCTTTCTAATTGATGGTTTTAATTCGTGGGCTTAGACTTCTCGAATCTTTTCTCCTCTAGCCCAATCTATCTCCAAAGGGGAACCCTCAAATCTACACGTAGGCAGTCGGCCGCCAAAACAAGTGCAAAATCAGTGTAGTCCTGAATTGTGCCCGTACTTTGCCCCCGAATCTTTTAAAATTTACAAGTTGTTTGGCGAACTAATACAAAGGGCGTCGACAACTTAGCGTGTTAACTTTTAAGCTTAGCAGCGTTTTAATTTTTTTCAATTTTTGTGAGCATTACTGTTCCGAACTCGCGGCAATCAACAGCTGGGCCAGTGTTGTGCCAATATTTCTTTAACAGACAAGAAATGTGTTCAAAGTGATTGGTTTGTACATAAAAAGGTAATCCTATCAAACGGAGCTTTAGCGACTGCTACTTCCCATGTATTGTTTGCTTATAGTGTTTTGACTTCGGTAGTTTAGAAGATTATTTTCTGGTGCGCTGACAGACTGAAAGACGACAGGAAAACCGAGGTTTGATGAACGGTTCTGCCGCGTTATGTGGTGTAAAATTTGTGTATGTATATGGTGTGAACAGTCATGCATCCTTTGAAGGAGGACGGATGATTGTTCATTTTTCGAACTGACTTGACACAGTGAAAGCATTAAGATTGAGTCAGTTTTCATGATTTGTTGAGTCGGTAGGACATTGCTGAATTCTGGCGAATACTATTGCTAGCAGAACTGCGGAGGGCTCTAAATTTTTTTGACGATTGCTTTGTTTCGAGAAAAGAAAAAAATTGTGAGGATAACTTGGGGCGATTTACTTTCCTTGGAGAGCTCTTGCAAATTTCATACAGGGTGTTCCATAAATACTCCAACACTTTTCTCATCTTGTAACTTCTCTCAAAGTGGACGTAATTTTAAGTGGTCACACACTATTCTTAGTCCGTCCTTAAGATGTTGAAAGGAATGACATTTATTCGATAAGTCTCCCTGACGCTGTGAGTATGCTTCCAGTTGCTCCAAACGCAACTCTGGTTTTCCCGCAGGGCATACTGGAGTTCCTTCTTCGAAACTTTCTAGAGAAAAAGCTTCAGCTCCTCTGTTTGGATGCATTATTTAGTGCAGGCCCTGTCCCCTAATATAGCCCAAATAGGATGGTCCAGCAGGTTGAAATCGAGAGATATGAGAGCCATTTGTTTGAGGATGTGAAATCGGGAACAGCATCATGAGATCAGTCCTAAACAAATTTTGCCCCTTATGCAGAAGCTGGTTACTTTTGAAAAGAATGTCATTCCTCTTGGAGAAGCTAGATACCTTAGTAACGAATGGTGCACTGGAGCATTCGTTAGCTAGGTCTGTATCGAGTTTCATTCGCTTTTCAACAGACAGTTGTGGTGAGAGACCGGTGATTGAGACCCTTGCCCAAATCGTGATAAAGATTGGCTGGTGCTTGTGGCGAATATTTCTTTCACTCTCACTGGCTTCCACATGACCTCATGCGGGCCTCGAAGTTTGAAGATTGTAGCTCTGCTCCATGTGAGGAATTTTGTCGTCGATGAAAACGGTGCCCGCGCGATCGCCGTTTTCGGCCCTCGACACCAGCTCTTTGAACTCTGCTGTGCTCCTCCCGTGGATTGAGCAGTGGTGCTTATGCAGCTTATAATGGACTGTGAGCGGTTGTTATCTGACCACTCTCTACATAACTGTGTTTGGAAACTCCAGCGTTCTGGTCACCTTTCTCGAGCCCACCCGGGTATTGCAGTCGTTTCGCTTGTTCATGCTTTTCCTGAGATCCAAGATGTCAGAACTTGTGGGGCGGCCGCAACAAAGACTGCTTCCATTGGTCTTCTCTTCAGTACACGGTAGGCCAAGGAGCGGTTGAAAATCCAAAGAAGCGCGATGTTAATCACCGGATGTCCGACCTAGCTGTATGAGGGATTAGGACCTCTTTTGAGGTTTAGGTGCACCATGAGATGTACAACGAATGGTAAGCCGTGCACTTCGGCAAGGTTATTCACAAGAGGTCATAGGAAGTGAAGGTATGCCAACCTTGGGAAAAGGACTACAGACACCCACACAATAGAAGCTCAAAATGTGTTGCAGTATTTATGGAACACCCTGTATATACGATTGATCGCTTTTTCTAGCTTGTCCTAAGTTGAAAAAAATTGCGGTGGAAAATTGATCTGCCACTATTGGACACAATTTTCCGCCTTCCCACTCCGAAACTTTTGGGTCCTGAAAAAAAGGGCAGTGGTAGACATTCCGAGGAAATGGGTAGAAGTCATCCTCCGTAGACTTGCCTCATTCGTACAGCGTTGCAGCAATGGAGTATGTGCTTACATTCTCATCCAAGTCTTGTGCGTTTTTCCTGGATAGCTAATAAAATTTTTTTTTGATTTTTCGCGATCTTAAAGGAATCCTTCGCGGAAAATTCTTGCATTCTTTCTCAACATGAATGTATCAGTTGTGATCACTAGATGCAAGAGCTTTGGTTTCCGAAGAGAAACAAAACACGAAAATCCATTCTATGGACAATCGAAGGTAATTCGGGCGGAGCCAAAGGGCGGGGCATGGAATAAGTCCGCACTGGGGCGCCTACGTATCAGGCGACGCAATGAAAGAATCGGGTTAAAGCGCGCGATTTCGGAGAGTAGAGACAAATCGATCGATAGAATAGGATGGAGTAGAAGTGTGAGATGTGAATGCAATAAAGCAGAAGGCCAGAAAGAGTTTCTAGTGAAGGCACTCCAAGAACCAAGTGGAAGCATCCCCGTCGCCAGCATTTGTGGCAGATGTCCGGCGGTACTTTGAACGCGTAGCAGCCCTTTCGGTTTTTCGATTTTTTTACCAAAACAAATTATGGTGGATGATGGGTCTCAAGCCAGTGAATTATGGCTGAAATTGAATCATGATTTTTCCTTGAAGGATTCCCTTAAGCGTACGGCACTCTTACTTTGGTACGTTTGTGGATGAGAAATTGAAAGGTGGATATACGCCAAATTCCGATCACCTTGCTGCGTTTGTTGCCCGCATTTTTATCCACACGGGCGTTTTTGTTACGTTGTTCTCGTTTTACAATGCTAGAGCAGAGTTTTTGATTGAAGCAAATGATTCGTGCTAGCGCATGCAGGCTGCAGTACTCTATGTATTACAGATTATGAAATCCTTTTTCTGCTTTCAATGCTGGACCAAACGTACATGGGCTTTCCATGCGGTCATTCGAGCCTCCTTGTGATCCTGTACCACTTATGAACAAATCTTACACCACTTAACGCGGTCGTGTACTCCTCGTCTGTGCCAAAAGTTCAAAATCTTTTCGCGCAAGGCGTAACATGATATTAGTTGTTTTTCGACAGCTGTCATGATCGCTTACGGTTAGCTTAACAGCGCAACTCACGATGAGATCAGAATCGATTATTCTGTTAATAGAGTGGATCTCTCTCCTAAAGTCGGATAGTCTCCGTTCCCCCGACTTGAAGATGCGCGAAAAGAGAGATAAAACTAAAACACCTTACCATAACCCCTTTGGCAGTTCCAACTTTCTCATTCACGGCAGGCGGGTGTGTCCTCGCAGTGATGATGATTAGAACTCCCTCGCCCACCATCTTTTCCACAGTGTCTCCCTGCTTTAGCACAGTCGAGTGGCAAAAAACACTAATCCCTCAATTCGAGCGTTTTCATGGATTTTCCTTTTTTCACTACCGGTCCACCGCACCCCTCGTTTTATTTTCATGCGCAACAAGCACACCAGTTTGACCGTGGAGTGTGTCTTTAAGCACGTTATTTGTGGAATGTGGCAGCCACACTTTGGTTCGCATGTTTAGCGGACGCAAACTGAGTGAAAATTCGACCTTAGGAAACATTTTGACTTGACTCTGCTATTGAACGTGTCATTGCACATGCATCTTGAGCAGTTCAATCATAGTTAGAGTCATAGCACAGTAACCAGTATAATTGTCATAGACCACTGTGTAACAGTAAACAAAACACAAACCATCTTGATCGATCGGTTTATTTTTACGAAAAAAAGAAAACAAAGAAAATCAACAGAAATGTCAAATAATTGTACTATCCATCAACAGATGTCGTCCATTGTTATAATGTGTAATTATACACTCGTTGCAACTAGGGCACATTGCTCAACATGATAATTATCGTAAATTAAGGCATGCAATTTTTTGATCAAAAGCAAGTCAAACAAATAGATAACAGTAAAGCTAATAATAGGTAGTGTAGCAATGTGCATACACCTGTCCGTACCCTTACAGTAGTCGAAATGCAATCAAACAGTGCATCCATTATGCTTAACAGACAGTCGTCTACGGAGTCGTCAAGAAACCTTGGTAGTTTCGAGTCAGTTAAATAGAAAATTACACTAATTTCGTAGTGGCGAGGAGGTGGACTGATTCACCGTGGAGTATCAATTTTGAAGTAGTTATCTGCCTAGCATGAGCTATGTCTCGCAAATCGAGACATAATCTCTAAATTTCAGTTCCTTCCACTTCGGATATTGATTCGGGCATAGGCTTGTTCATTGTTTCCGGTAGAAACACCCCTGTCAATATTGCCGCTATCAAAGAGAGCGCCGTGAACGGAATGACCATAGCGAGCTTGCCATAAGAGTCAACCTGAAATTTGAACCGCTTTCATTTTCGGTTTTGTGAAGATTCTTGCTTGTAGTTTTGTTTTGATTGAAGTTTTGGGAAGTAGTAGCTGGTCTGTAGTTATGCGTAGTTTGTTTTGTTTTTGTGCTGTGTGACCATTTCACATACTCGCATACGTTTTACGTCAACTTATATGCACAAGAAAACCTGATTCCGTTCGCTGCAAATCAATCAAATTGGTCACCGCTTGTCATAGAGGAATGTATTCGGGAATTAGTAACCGCCCCTACTTCCTGTTGGGGTCAAACGCGAATGCATAAACCCTGTTGTATTTCAACTGGCTAATTACTCGGTTGTATGGATTATGAACCCTGTTGTAATTCAACTGGCTAATTACTCGGTTGTATGGATTATGAACCCTGTTGTAATTCAACTGGCTAATTACTCGGTTGAGTATGGATTGAAGGAAGTGTTCAGCCCTCGGGCGAAGATGCTGTGTACTTTCGCCCAGATACACACTTTTGAATAATTATGATATCTCACCAGCCACAGAGCCATATACGATGACATGATGGCTCCAACGCGAGCAATTGTTGAGCAGCATCCGACGGCAGTGTTGCGAATCACTGTCGGGAAAAGTTCGGAAGTGTATGTGTACATGGCGGTGTAGGAGACTGTCACCGCTCCTTTCGTGATCATCATTTGTAGCATTCCCCAGTAAAACGAAACTGCAATGGTGTAGTATAGAGTGGTTTCAAATACCTTCTATGCTACCTCAACCCAACACGCATAGAAATGTGCTGCGAAAACAGCAAGGAGTAGATCACCTACCATCATCTCCTATAATGCAGTTAAAGATAAGGCAGATTCCCGCTGTTAGCAGACCAAAGACGACAAGTTGACGTCTTCCTATGCGATCGATAAGGAAGTATACAAGCAGGAGGGCTGGGATTTCCATTAAGGCGCTAACAGCGAAGTTTATATGAAGACTGCCGCCACCGAGATCACTTTTCATAGTCAATCCATAGTACATCATGGTGTTCACAGGCCTGAAATAGCAGTTGTTTGTTCTTGCTGGTGGATGCTTACATCTGCCAGTGTTAGGATGTACCATAGGAAGAAGCAGATGAGTGTTCTGACGCGCATCTTTGGTGTACGTACAAGATCGATCGTGCCAAACGATTGATATTTGCTGTTCTGGGTTTGTACTAGCTGTTCCCACCTGTAACACTTGCTTAATAGTTTGTTGAAGCAACATTCAAGCTGGTTTTCACTAACCATCTTTCCGGAACATACGATCCGTTCATTCGAGCCGCTTTGTGAAGAATCTTGTCGGCTTCGTCATACCGTTCCTTTGTTACCAGCCACCGAGCGCTCTCCGGAACCAACCTTGAAGTGATTACAGTTTTTCACATTGTAACACTATTTCTTTGAAATACTTACCACCAGTAAGAAAGGAATATCAGAGAAGGTAGCGCTATGGCAGCATGAAGAATTCGGTAATCTGTTAGAAGGTAAGCCATACCGGCCAGCATCATCTGAATTTGTAGACATGATAATTGATATAAGCACTGCAAGCGAAAACTTCAGCAATTGCTTAAAAATTCCCTACCTCTCCCAGAGCGTAAAATGCTCCGGCCACAACAGCTCCAAGTCTTCTATACTTTGCACCTACCAGTTCCATTCCCAACACAACAGCTACACCGTATATTCCAGGCTGTGAGAACCCTGTGCCTGCCCTATAAGTCTTAATTTTCAAATCATTTGTTTTCATTAAAACTCAGACAACTCACTTCAAAAGGAGCGAAAAGCCACCACGTTGGGGCAACTGTCAGCAAAAGGCCGCAGAAGGTCTGTATGACAATGGCGAGATAGAAAACCTTCTTTCTTCCAATCCTGTAAATGGATTACCATAACGTTGAGGCGAGCACGCGTCCCACATCAAAGGAGACTCACTTGTCACCCATGATTCCGCAAAAGAGCGATCCTGTCATCTGCCCGATGTAATATAGTGACTGTACAGTTGCCTTGATCCATGACCTGTCTCCATACATTTGCCACTAAAGACAGAAACTCGGTATTTCGGAGATTGCATCGAAATCTCTTCGCTGGGGTTTACACCAAGGGCCATTATATTATACAGTTGTAAGCGCTAACTCTTTCGACAGCTGAATGTGCGTTGTCTTCGATTGTGCAGTTCTCCGCAAAGGTCATGTTCGAACATCTGAAAAAACAGATGATGAGAATGTTTAGCAGTGAATAATACAGTTCCGTTCAGCAGATTCGGCCACCACTTTACAATGGTGATAGTACAACTTTGTTGTGGAACCTTTTTGCCGTAGGCATTTGTCAACCAGTTTGGAATTATGAAAGCACTCACGACAGAGGTGATGGCACAGCAACGAAGGCCCAACTCATTACATGCATGGCTACAAATATGGTTGGAAGACATAGTAAGACGAATTGAAGAAGCTGATACCTGGAAGTGGTAAAACTGGTTTCTATGCCATTAATCAGGAGTTCCACTTCCACTTGTGAAGAAACTTTAGGAAATAATGTTGAGAAAGGACGTCATGCTTACCTTCCAAAGTTGCCAAGATTTTGTTCTAGCAACTTATCGAATGTAATCTTCTTTGGTTGTTCAGGAAATTGAACAATGGCAGCTTCAAGTGGGTCGTCTAGTTTTGGTGCGACACGGTCGCTACCAATTGTGCCCACCATACTCTAACTAAAAAGGCAATAATAAAACGCCTTCATACATCAATGAAAGTCCAAGTAACGGTCATGCGTGAGTCGAAATTGATAGCAAAAATGACGACAGAAACGGGGTAATGATAGAAAGGAGCTGCGTCGAAGGAGATTACGGTATGTCGGCGCGTCAGTGCGACGTTGACCGCCTTTTATCCTACGGAGCGACGGGGCCTGTTTAGTGTAGCGCATGCTACGGGCTGTCGTCAACGGTCGCGCGAGAGATGGCCACACAAGAGGGATCCACTAGTGGTGACAGAGAAAACTTACGTCGTAATTATTTGATTTTTGTACCCTCAATAAGTGCTCTTCCTTGATTATGGAAAGCCAATTTGTGGTTGGAAATCCTGGGACACAATTCATCAGTCCACTTGTTCACTCAGCTGCTGAAGATGGGGTTAACAGCTAAGTAAAGCTTGCTTGTTCATTTTGACGTATGATGCTATGGATGCGAAAAGAAGACGTCGCGTAAATGGTTTAGAGCTACATGGACCATGGATGGTCATTTAGAATAGCTAGGCGAAAATCATTGTTTTTGTCTTCACAGTCAAGTGACGTATTCTAAAAGAGAAGTTTTTGAAGTTCTCATATTTTTCTCAATTCAAAAAATATCATTATTCACGATTGCCCTCGTTCAATCAATTACATGCAACAGGTTTTACTTGCGCTTCTCGCGCATCTATCAGTGATCATGTGTTTTTAATATTGATACATTGAGACACGTGAAAAGCCAACAGGAAGTGTCGTAGGTAGTCCTAAGAAGAATCTTGGCTCAATGAACATAGATCGTCAAATGAACTTATTTAGGTTCCTGATACTGGCTTGCGACGGTTTGTGGAAATCGTTTGACAACGAGGAGGCGATCAGTTATGTGAATGAGTTACTGGGCAAGTCAGTTAAGGTAAGCATTGGGAAATTTTCGCACCAATATTTCGAGTATTGTGAGGATTATGGAACGCCGGGTGATAAGAGGATGAGTTTTTAATTTGCTAAAGTGCTTACATACTATTTTGTGCCCGATCAATGTACAATGACTTCACTACTTTACGCTACCACTTTTGTGGTAGATGAATGTCAAGATGAATTGAGAGTTTTGATGGAATAGTTCAGCAGAATTCTCAAGCAAGTACAGGAAAGGTGTAGTGTAAGGGCGTGAGGTACTGCCACTTTGTATATCTTGTGTGTATGTTCACAATTCATTTCTTTGATAAGCCGCTTAAAAAATTCACTTTTGGGCCAAAGGCTCGTTGGAAAAGAACATCTCAGCGGGGTTTCGTCCAAACAGCGGATTGTTCTTGCTCACAAAGAACTGTATTGGCTTTAGGAACGGTCGGAAGGATTTTTTCTCTAATTCTTCGTAATCACATCGCTTCGTCGCCTAATAGACTATGAGAGAAACCGTCATGTTGTTATTTTTCTTTCATGTCTTCAGGATTCTGAAAATTGTGGTTGGTAGGAACAAAAATTTTCAAGGGTAAAAAGAATTTTTCTTGGAAGGGTGCGTCGAACGGCGAACACGGTTTTACCTTCGGTCGATGCTCTCATTTGCACTTTGTTTATTCATCAATCAGCCTACAATCTTTTTTCAGTTTATTTTCCCAAATCCTTCTGGAGGGCACGTTTCTTTTCGAGTGCCGAACAGATTGGAGACTATTTTTATAATCCTAAGCCCTGGATAAGCCCTTGATTCCATAAAAGGATGAGCGCTCGTTATAAGCCCAGAAAGTATTGTCATTAGCGAACTAGGTTGATTGTGAATGATTTGAGCGGGCGCGGTGCCCTGGCCGGAGGAACCGCATTGTTTTTGCAAGCTGTACGGCAAACGTGGTAATCGGGATAGGAAGGATTCCTGCTCCATGTTGCTCACCAGAACTATGGCACTGATTCTCTTGAGAAGCCAATATTCCGCCCTAATGTGTATTCAAACGCTGCTCTCGCTATGCGCAAAGGACAATTGCATAGCGCACCCCTAATGGGCTGTATTTTTTCCCATCGGTCAATATTCGTTATCTGTCGAGATCACTTCTGTCATTTCATGTGAAGCAGCTGTGCGGAACTGCAGCCGTATCTTCTCTACATCGTATGAAGCGAGGGGTTGCGTTCTTGTTCTCATTCATGAGTTTTCTATGACCCGGCCAAAGCATCTATAGCGCGTACTTTTAATGTTATGACTAACGAGCGGTGCGCTTCATTGTGTATTTTTCGGATTCTAAGACCTAGGTGAAGTCTCTCTTTCCACACGTTTTGCTCTTTACATCTTTTTTTCCTCCTCTGACATTCTCATCATTCTTTTCTTTTTTCTCACTCTGTCGACTAAGTGCTCGTCTATGTAGCTTCCTCTTGATTCCCCTTACATCTCTGTTTCTTCCTCACGTTTAGAACCTAAAAGCAATAGTCATCAACACTCAAACATGTACCGATTTTGTTAGTTCACACCAAGGTCATAGATGGTCCACTTGCCTACTAAATGGACTACAAAGAACGGTGAGGTGACGAAGTTTTCAGCCATCTCTCCCTGCCCCCTCCCGTGTAGATAAATAAACAACTAAGTGTTCTAACTTCTGTATTTCAAACTTTATTTACTCAAGACCTCCCGTGTGATGAATGTGGCTCTAGTATGCGTCGGTAAGCGTGGATGGGTTTGACAGAAGCAACAGCTAAAAGAGTTCTTTCGAGACAGATGGTACTACTGTTAAGGTTAGGAATGCATACCAGAATCTCATCGCAGGTTAACTTATGCGGGTTCCATCGACTTTTGCCTTCGTACAGCCTACGGACATGATCTGAGTGAGCAGGGTCACACTAATCATGTCTGTTAGGTGCACGGAGGATCCCAAAGTTAGATTACCGTACCCTATCTACCATACTGCACAAACCGGAAATAAAAACAAAAACTTGTGGGTGGCTGGGGAGAGGCCGTGGTTGCTGCCGATCTTCGATGCCCAAGAGGACACATCAAGAAACGTGTCTGCTGCTGCGGCGCGACTTAAACTGTGGCACTTTATGTTTTGGCCCATTCTAAAACTTCGTGCAGAGACGACGTTAACAGTAAAAGCAATGGATTTGATGGCTCCCACAGCCCGTTCCTCATTCATGGCTAACGCGGGAAAGTCGCTAACAAGCGATTTTTTACTCTCTCGAAAGTCAAAGATTCTTGAAATGCAGCCTTGAGCAACACAATGGCTGGAATTGGGAACATTTGCTTGCTGAAATTGCTCTGTCAATTAGCAACTTCAAAAAAAACAGTGCAGAATTGCCTGAATAGTGTAATTTTTGCGCTTTCGCACGATAAGGGGACATCCTCCAGAACTCATTCTTAAGGCAGGAGCTTTATTGATGATGACAGTTACTCACGCATCCCGGACTCCCTCCTCCCCTGCCCATGGCATAGCCCGTTTATAACAACAAGAGGATGTTTCACCGCTTGTGAATACATTGATACCACATCGCCCTCGTCCCTGGCAATAGCGCTCCATTTTCTGCATGGAGCTCCCACACTTCGACGAATATATCTCCTATTTATGGCACTTTTATGCGAACTAAAGACAATGGAATTCATAAGATTTAGCTTTTGAAAACATATATTACACACGTGCTGTAAACTTTGTACATGGAAAATACTTTTTGAAGAGTTGTAAAAAATATGTAGCTTGAAAATTTTTTTTGAATAGACGGTTGATTTTTTTATGGTCTTTGCTTCGCAATTAGTAGGAGCTGAAACACTGGGCGCAGGTCGGTCTCGTTCTCTGTGCGGCATATACTCAATTTCTATTCCCATCTTATATAATACTAGCAATTCAGTTTCGTTTGGACTACTTCGGTCTCAGTCACTCTTGTCGGGGTTATGTCGTGCGTCTGTTCCTGCTGGATGGCGGGTTTATGCGATGCACAGATGCATTTATCGCGGCTCTCAGGACACACACGCGAAATTCGTTCTAGACGTGAGTAGCCTCCACCTGTAAAATGATGTTCACCCATTACCTTGCAGCTGTGGAAGATTTGGTGGTAGATCTGTCTGCTCACGTGCAGTAAGGGGGCAGAAGTCGAACTTTGTCCTGCGTCTTGAAGGCAGCATTCACGATTCATATCGCGAATTGCTTGCACCACACGAAACAGTTACTTGGCTGCCAGGGAAGCGAGGTGTAGCGCTTTCACGACGAAAGGTGCGCTGGTTGCTGAGCAGGACTTCGAAAGCACTCCGCCCCCAAAAGCGATCCGCCCACTAGTTTAGTTGGTGATTTGGACGAGCTGCGTTGCCAGCAGCGGCACAACTGGAGCAACTCGAGTGTGGTTTGGCATGGTGTCACCAAACGCGTTGCGCTGAACTCGTTCATACGTCCGCTTTCTGAGCTGTTACCTGTTCATGAGTGAAAACCAACGGCCAAAAAAGGGGGTCCCGTTTTGCGTTTTCTTGACGGATTTCTGTGCTTTTTCGTCACTGACATACCATTGAGCACCACCCTGTATGATGTAAACTCTCCTTGAATCTATCGTAATCGCTGCCCTCAAATTACTCGAGAGTTCGGCACAGCTCAAGATGAGGCTTGGGGACAAAGCCCTCACGTAGTGGTTGTAGTCGTACTTGCTGCAATCACTTGTTCCCCTTCTTTTGATTATGTGTTTGCACTGCACTTCTTGTATGCATTCCTTATCGCTCATAGCCAGACTGGCAGTATTTTGCCTTACCCATTCGTGAAGAGCTTTATTCCAGTATGTGGTCTCGAGAAGTTTTCATTGTTATCCACTTTCCGTATAATAGACTATCACCTTAACTAATGTCAGACCTATTGGTTATGTTATCACCTTCCCGTTGCCCTTACTAACTTGCCTATTTTTCATGTACGATCCAGATGTATAATAGAAATCATGGCGCATTACAAGAAAGATAATGAACGCGGAACGCTCCATTCTTCATGATTTATCCGGTGTTGTTGAAATGCTCTTCTGCGGCTGTGATTGGCACTGTGGTTGCGATTTCTCACATCACGCTACCGCTACTTATCGCTCCCTGTCAGTTTTTAACATTTTTTACGGCTCCGTGAATGCCCTCTTTGACCTGTTTATGGTGTGAACCATAGCCTTTCAAGGCAGTTTCACGCATAGGGCGTGTCATTGATGTTGTGGCGTTTGCCTCGTCAGAAAGAGGAGGTATAGGTCACTCAAGGGGTTTCCTTCCTTCTGGTCTATTCAAGTAAATTCCAGTGGCTGGTGGGAAACCATTAAGCAGCATAAGGTGCTCTGGTCCATTCTTGAGGTGCTTTTTAATTTTTGCTGTCATGAGCTGCTGCTCTTGACTTATATTTGTTGAGACAGCTTTGATACCTTTCAAGTTTACAAGTCGTCTTGAGATGGTAGGCGCTTGATCGGAAAGCAAACTTTTTTTAGTTCTCATTTCACAAGCTCTGACAGAAACGATGATTGCGAGATTCTAGCCGGGTGAAACGTTAGCGAATTACTGGAAGGCTGAGGATTTCGCTGTGCTTTCCTCTTTCGAGCCCTTCAGGAGTTGGAAAGGAGAAACAGAAAAGAGAGAACTAAAGTCTTTCCGTCCATTTTGAAAGACGCGTGGGAACGTCATCAGAAGTGCTTTTTGCTCGTTCCGAATTTACTACGAGCTCTGTTCAAAACAGATTCAGATTGCGGTTCGTAAGCGGTGGTTATTGCTAGAAATTGTTTCTCGCGTGTTACTAAAAAAGTCAGTTCTTCACAGAGTACCGTTAGGTGTTGTGGCAAATGTTAGGCAGCTTGGTTCAATTCCACCTTCGTGTTTAAATGTGCTGACGATTTCTTACATCTATCAAAGTTCCAATCGTATTTCTAACGATGAATTGACAGAATTCCGCGTGAGAAGGAATGCTTTTCTGAAGGAAGAACGTCTACAGTTTTGTCCATTTTAGTCACTTAACAAAATGATCAATGCAACAGATTGTAGCGACACGAAAAAAAAGTTTTGAAGGTATTGGAAACACTGAAAATTTTCTGCGCGGAGGAATTCATTATAGAGAAATCATTTGAAAAGCATAACTTCTCTGTCATCGTGATTTGCGGAAGGTCAGGTGAGCGACCTCATTTAGGTTCATGAAATCTGTGCGCCATTCATTCCTAATCATTTTTACAATCGATAAAAGTGAAACGAATTCCGAAATTTGAAGCTCGACCAGCACTGACCCAGCACAATAAGCGCTAATCCAGTTTTCTGCCACTATCTAGGTATTTAATGCTCTAAGTATTTATAATTATTGCAGTTCGCGTTTTCAGGCTTCATTGATTTCTCGTAGCGATTTGGCCCAAAAATAGTGTAAGAATTAAGTGTCAGCACTCATGCGCTGTGAATAAATGAGCGTTTGACAGTTTTAGGCCAGGTTACCTTTGCACTTGATGCCAGATGGCCTAGATTTGAATGCAGATACCGATACTGCTAATGCGCTGGAGTTGTAATTGTAATTACTTCACGCATACGTGGGAAAGGTCACCACTGTTAAATATCAGTTCAATAGAATTTTGCTCAATTTCGTGATGAGGACTTTTCTATAGGTCATGTAGAGGACTCTCGCGATAACTCCCAGAAAAGTAATGGGTTCATGATGGCGGAATTTCGGTAGATTCAAAATGATTTCAAGCCCATTGTTCAAAATTAAAGGCTTGTTAAGCCGAAAAAAATGCAGAAAAGATCATGGGCGGATGAATTACTAGACATTTTATGACTGTCTCTACAAAAAATAATGGACATGTTTTGGGTCGATTTTTTTCGTTTATTTTCATAATTTCAAAATTTCTGTGATGATCCGAGGAATAATGTTTTGGGGCTTATGGAATATCAAAGGCTTTAGGAAAGGCATTTGACAAAAGGATTTCTGGATTCATACTGGATTCAGTGGCGCGTCTCATTTGGACGTATAAATAAATAAATAAATAATAAATAAAGTAAATAATAACTAAATAAGAGTAAAATCTTCGTGTATCAAATTTTCGGCCTTTGGAAGAGGCATGACCCCATATTTCGATGATGGTGCATGACTCATTACTTTTTTTTTGTAAAAGATCATTTTATAATGGCTGCAGTTTGACGAACTGGAACGTATAGCGATTAAATCAATGGAACGGGTTTTTGTGTTCCAATGTGTTTTGTCTTATGTACTTTTGAAAGGGACCAGAAAGAAAATGAACGAAAGATTCGCAGTGTTGAGGGGATGCATAGGTACATTTCCGTAGCGGCAAGAGCAACTGAGTAAAGATAAAATCTGTTTCCGTAACTTTAAACGTGTATGCTTTGTCCACAGTTATTCCAACTACTACTATTTATTATTAGGTTGTCGGGAGAAGTCTTTGGCCATTTGTCAATTTTTTTTCTGATTCACTTTTCTTATTTAGCACAGTGAGCAGTTATGCCCACCTTAATCGCCAAGCATGTTGCCTTTTAGCAGGTGATTCGTGGATTCCGTTTGCCTCAGAAATCCTGAGCTTCCAAAGCAAAATCCTTGAAAAAGTTCTCTTGGAGTAGTTTTGAATCATTAAGCTCTCCCTCTTTTGTTTGACTTGACAGCAATGGAAGCAGATGGGTGCTTGTTAGTGCCTGGGCCTGCTGAACGCAACAGGTAGGACAGAAGGTCCATAACGGGTTTGGAGACTTTTGCTGAACCTTCATCAAATTCGTTGACAAGCGTTGCCTGGGTAAAGTAAACTTTTCCATGGTTTTAAGAGCATAGTGCCGGCGAACCCATCCATTTGCCCATATTATGGTTCAACAATAGCAGTGCAGTTCTTTGGTAGGAGCTGTCAGTGAACGAATCGCTTGGAGCTTCATCAATTCTGAAAGTTACCTCTCAGGTTGCAGTGCTGGAATCGGCGCTGGAATCCTCTGATCTACGCGTCTGGGCCACCGGCGCTTCGGGTCAAACAAGAGACGTAAATCAAAATGTTCGTGCAAAATCTGAAGGTCTCTGACGGCGGTCATCACCGATGTCACGGAACCTCCTTTTTCCCTATTGCTTGCCTTTTGGAGAAAGTATTGGGGAACAGTTATTGTGATCCGGAAACTTTGCAGAAGCTTCGTCAGTTCCCGAGTTACCCCGGGACTGTTCTAGAGCGGGTCTTCAGGAAGGGGCCACGTTGCATGTTAGGGAAGAACTGAGCAAAGGAGAGAGATGTTGTGTGGCATGTTCCCGTGGGGGGAGTGGGTGGTTGCTGGGAGATGGTTGGGTTTTTCTGATGGCTTTCTTTTATGTTTTTTTTTCTTTATAATTATTTTGATGTGCTGGTCTGTATTTTAACGTGTACGTCCTCATTTTGTTTGTTCCTTTATTTGCTTTATTATTTATCTGTTTTTTGATGTCTCTTTGTTCTTTGTCATCGGGCTTCCCGTACTGACGTTTGTTTTTTGGTTCAATAGAACATCGTAAGCACCAGCATGCTTCATTATTAATACGTATGTTTTCTCTAGTTATTTTTTTGTAGCAGTATATTGCTGTCTAGAACCCCCGACAGATAATGCTAATAAAAAGAAACATTGACTAGGGTTTACATGCGTTTTGCAATAAATGCTAGAAAATTATCACTAAAGATTTTACAACATGCAGATCGAAATGGCCAAGAGACTTTTCCGACAACCTAATACTTTTTATTCCAGTTACTTTTGAATTCAAATAGGCCGCTTAGTCCTTCCCTAGTGTATGTGGGGAAAAATAGGAATAGTGGCCCTTTTTGTAGCTGAGGAGAATTCGGACTACATACCCATTTTGGGTCGTAATTTCATTAAACCGCTTGCCCAATGTGGGAACGAAATGCTTACGGCTTCTGCTCAGTCATTCGTACGGCTGTAACCAGCTGATGATGAAGCTTTACGACGCGATGGGGAAGGAAACCGTTCGCGGATCCGGCCGTTACACAGTGAGTTGTTGTTCATCACCATATCGCACGCATTTCGATTGCGGGTTCTCTTTGAGAGAGCGTTTAATGCTAGCGATAAAATATTGATGACGGTCACCGCAGGTTCTAAGGAGTGTGGTTGCACGTTGAAGAAAATCCGCTCCAAAGGGCCTCATCATCATCATGAAATAATTACCAGCTTGTTTATGTCAGTGAAAAAACGACGATGAGGGCGCTTCCAATCGTATAACTTCGTTTTCAGCTTTCCAGAGAGAACTAGGTTTGGGTTACTTTGTTTTTGCATGAGAAATAAAATCCTGTGGGTGCTCGAGCATCCTGGGGGCCACCTCATTTGCATTTTTCCAAAGCTCTCCTTCCAGCGTACTGCGGAGTTGTATGCGGCCCTTAAAAAACCTCGAGAGCTCCATAAGATGTATAAGCTCGATTTCAAACTTTCAGCGTCTTGTTGTTCATCGAATCTCTCACTGAACCTCCATTCGAAAGAGGCGCCTGACGACTTCTGTTTCAAGCGTACACGATGCAATGACAAGATTGACAAATCGCTTCGATCTATGCCAGAATCGGCACAGCGTGAATTTTTCCCGATCCTCATCCACTCGGCCAACGCGAGTTCAGACTTATCCACTCCGCCACTAATAGCATGCGGATAACACAACGCAAATCTCTTTTCCACGCCACATACCCTTCAAAGAGCCAGAAGAGCGTCGAGTACAGAACACAACAAGTGACGACAGCCTCCAAGTGAATCTTGTTGCTAGTGCTTCATAGTGATAGCTTGTAGTTGACAAATGAGAGTTGTTACTACTGGCAACTGATCGAATACAACTGTAACAGGTTGATCATTTCATTGCAAAAACATTTGCATTTTGCAGAGGCCGTCGTCACTTGTGGTGTGTCGTCTGCACTCGAAGCTCTTCCGGTTTTGTGAAGCAGGGTATACATGGATGCTGTCTGGGGCTCCAGTCTGTGGGTGTGTCATGAAATTCGACGTTAGTTGAGGAATCACTCATAGGTACTGCTAAAGTTCGGGATGGGCGGGGCCTAAGCCAATATGCACAAAGCGGAGGTAATCAAAACAACGCCGTGACTGCATTGAAGCGGAACGCATCGTTTTGTACTCCTTCTGACTAGTAAAGGACGCCATTCGTTACGGGTCCCACTGCCTCCTGCTACAGTGAACCCTTCAATGTGGAGCGGGGAATCCGTGAGCCAGGGGCAGTGTAGCCAGTCTAGGGGGGTGGGGGGTGAGGGCAGTCACTTGACATGCGTGAGAAGCTGGAATGTTCGAATTCAACCGCGATCGCTTGGGATCCCCGCGGGTTAAGGCAGTGGGTCCCGCAACGAATGGCGCCCTATACTAGTCAGTAGGAGTACAAAATGATCACTCCCATTCTTATGCTCAATGAAAACACAAATTCTTTTTGCTGTTTAGGGTGGCCAGTAGACTGCGAACTATAAGCAGAGTTGAGTATTAAGTCGATTTAGAGATAAAGAACTCTTCCGCTAAGCTTTCACTTTCTCAAATGAGAACACTTAAAAACGCTTAAAAAAATTAATTTGGATTTCTGAACAGACTTGAGACATAAAAAAAAGTGGCATTCTGTTACATGTAGCTAGGGGTGATGACCCAGTGTTTTTGAGATAGAGCGAGTAAGAATAGTTTAAAACACATGGCGAGCGGGTCGGGAAACAAGATGGGTGAAGCCCAAATAAGAATGCGTGTTAAAGTACTGAAATTTTTCGGACACCGGAGAACTTCCACATAGAGTGGGAGTTACAGAATGGAGTTATGAAATTTTAAAGGCATGCTATACATGCATCAAGGTGGATTTGACAAAATCTGAAAACTCGCAAACTGAGAAAGTCTGGAGGTTGGAACAATGAGGATGGGTGGCAAATAGTACGATATATAATACAAAATTTCATGGAATCATATATTATATATCTTCAAGATGACGGAAATTTTTTCCAAAATGGATTTAAAAGAAGTTGACCTAAGTAGTGAATATCAGGTATCAAAATGATCAGTATCACCTGAAGAGCACGTTAGTCACTTTCGTCATACTATTCCAGAACAAAAAAGAAGCTCAAAAGGCTCGCTCAATACTAAGTGGAAGCTGTTTCTCTCTGGTCATAATTATAGCGAGCGACGCTCGCTATAAGTAACCCTAATTGGATTATAGAAAAATGAAATTTTCTGAAATCTGAGAGGACATTCTAATAGCACTCGACGAGCTGAGTCTAATGGTATAGTTTTTCATGTCGAAAAGCGATCAGAAATCAAATTATAGCAAAAAGACGAAAAAGACGCGGATCCGCGTCTTCCGCGTCTTTTTTAACAAAGTTATGGGAGGTACTGTATTATATATTGCCGCTAATAAGCTCGATTGTAATGAATTTTTGATCTAGCGAAACCAACAAGGATTAAATTTTTCTCGAATTGGCAGAATGTAGCCTGAAGCAATTGAAAAACGCGGAGCATAACGTTATTTCCATCGATGGAAGTTATAGTTTGGAAACGTGATTTTTTCAAAAATGATGCTTTAAAACTTTGAAATTCCGTAATACCGGAAGGAATTCAGCACAAAACTTCCTGAATACATATGAGGAATCAGCGATCTGTTAGATAGCTGAGTGGCTCAATGACGTCTCCGATCATCGTCATTTTCTTGACGTTGAATTGATTTGAGCTTTGAGCGGAGATCTAAAGTTGAAGTCTAGATTCTTAGCATCAGATCAAATTTTTCGGTAAAAATCGACACTAAGATGTGGATTGTAAGACGTTCTTGCTGTTCCGTGAGGTGCACGGCTCATTATCAGCTATAGTCTGCATCCTGGGTCTCCATTCCAGCACAATTTCAGTTGAGGAAGTCAGTAAAAGGTAAGCTGTAGTGAGTCATTGCTGTGACAGAGGGAAATCGGGCGAAATTCCTATTTTTCAATTGCCATTAGTATTTTCGGTTCTGGTAATATCATTGCAAATCACTCCTTTTAATTTTATAATTAAATAATTTTTTGAAGTAATTTCTTTTGATTTTGTGTATAATTTTCGATTTTTGGCGGCTTCGTCCTTCATTGGCCGTGCTACATCAAAAATGAAACAGGTTTCCGAACTTACTGACCGCCGCTGTATGTAAATGGAAAGCATTGGTAAAATCAAAAATCAAAAATTACTCCTATGGTCCATATTACTGAAGCCCATGTTACACGCGTTAGTGTGCGGGCCAACTGCGAAAGATTGTTGTTTTCAGCGTTGAACTATACCCTTGAGGGATGCACCGCGCGTTCTATTACCATCCTGACTCGTAGTGGCACATGAAGGTGATTTTGGCTTGCAGGGTTCATTTTACCAATCAGTATTTCCACCTTTCAAGAAAAAAGTGCTACAAATTCACCAACTGCGGCTTAGTTGGCTTGGGAACAATTCAATGCAGGGTGCGGTTTTCAATCTCTGCCGTTCGGCAATAGTTTCCGCTACACCACCACTGTCTCTACAATAATGTGATGTAATTGGGATAAATCTCTATCAGAAATCAATGCGAATCCCTTTGAACCTTTGTGAGGTTTGTTTGCATAACGATGTGCCCTTAGTCCCTTTCTATCTGTTTGGTTTCCTGCGCTCCTTTAAACAATGCACTGTGAGCGAATTTCGATTGCCAAATTGAGCGCGCTATCCCTCAGAATTGCAGTAATGGAATAAGTTTTAGGATTGTATGAAGGCGTTACGAAGCCTTTCTTGGTCTACATATGTACAAGCAATCAAAGAGAAGTGACGCGCTTCGTAGATGTGACTCCAAGAAAAATAAATCTGGTAGTGGTTTGGTCTAGCAACATTTATCAATGAATGCGCCTCTTCCAGATACTGCCTTTAACCGCGTCATACTTCATGTCATTACAAACGCCTAGCTTCCACTATTGTATTCGAATTCTTGTGATGAAAGCTGCGTTGACAAAAGGCATCTGGAGAGCAGTAGTTTGGGATTGATACTTCTGTGAAGGTAGGCACTTGAATAGGCGTAGCAGTTTTGACGGTATACCTTTTCCTAGTATTCGGAGGGTTCTCTGAATCAATATGTAGAAGCTTACCCATGTACAGAAGCTGCCAAGAGTGTTCACTGGAACTGTTTCTAGGATTTTTTTTTCTGACTTCGAAGGAAAGGATCTATATTAAGCTGTTGTGGTAACCCTACTCAAATATGAAATTAGGGATGTTAGGTGGACGTGATGTTAGGTGCAAAGGAAAAACGAAACTGATTTTTCAAAAACATTGGAAATGTGAGCGTTCTTACTCTATGCTGCGGTGGAGTGTAAGAGGCAGGCAGGGAGATGAAAGATAATGAGTGGCGGTAAGGGGAAGAAGTCCACGCCGAAAGAGCATAGCATGTAAACATCAGGGCACAGGTAAGATGTCGAACGGTGGGCGGACCCTGATAATTCAGGTGGGATTTGATCAAAGTTCCTAGCGCCTAGCGTCTTAGTGACGCGTTTCAATGTGCAAAGGTGGCGCGACCTCTGCACTTGCGCACGCAGCACCCTAGCCACGGGCGGGGCTTAGTCAGCGAGGCTGAGGTCTGACATCGCCTTTAACCCTTTGACGACAATGCGGATTTGCACGTAGCTTGCTCGTGGGACCACGCCTCTTTTTGGCGCGCCCAACTCTCGCACAAAATGGGCAAAATTGTCCCTAAAGCAGTTTTTCTATAGAATTTTTGACTGAAAGTACCAAAATATAACTGCAGTTCTAAGCTTTTCGGTTTTTCACTTTCGCGCTTAATGTTTATTGTGGGTCGGAAAAACCCAACTTGGCGCGTTACAGACGCGATGGAGGGCACAACCTGGTTAAAGTTAAGATGTCAATGAGAATCTTGCGATGCCACTTCTGACCCCTTCCGATATTTTGAGGCGGGTATGATAAGATGAAGGGCCTGATAATGCGCCAAGTCTAAAATTCTGATATTAAAAAGCTCTGGAATAAAACATGTCTGGGGCCGCTGTTAGGCATAGATATTATGCGAACGTCTCTTTATGAATTATTGGAAAGACAGTAAATTTCAAGGTGGCACCCACCATTGGGTGCCATTGTCCCACGCGGCGAACATAGTGGCACCCACCGGTGGGTGCCATTGTCGTCAAAGTGTTAAAGCATTCAACCCAGATAAGGGTCGTGTCGAGCGATATGTTCTGTGGGTAGGATAGAGGAGCGCGCGAGTATCACAGCTAGTGGAGCCATAGAGCACGCAATTTTAGCAACTTGTGCGGATCTCATTTCGAGGAGAAAAGAGGGAGTCCTGGTTTACGCGGCTTTATCGGCGGCTTGCTCTTTTTCTGTTTTCTGTCAATTCGGCATCTACAATGTCATATCGACCGTTGTTATATCCCGCCACCTTGATCTTGGGTTGTTGCTTCAAAGGCGGATCTTGCGATAAAAAAGGCAGCTCATCAGAAATCAAGGTGGAGGTGGTCAGTAATGCAGGGTTGAAGAAAAACCAAGAAAACGGACTAGAACTTGGAAAATGAGACTCCTCCTTACCCGTTGTTTTCCGCAGTGTAGGCTAGTGTCATCTGGTTACTGACAGTCACACAAATTGATACCCTGCTCTGCCCTCTGCTAACGGCTAGTTATCGCGCCCGGCTAGGTCGGACGCGGCGA